CCAGCCGGCTTCCTCAGCCAAGTGAGGATTTGAATCCAGGTCTCTAAAGTCCTAGCCTGGCACTCTTTATTTGCTTCACCATGCTGGCTCCGTGCTTTCCATGATGGTTCTGAAAACAGCCCAGCCCATCTGGCCGTTGGTGATACTGGCGAGAATAGTCCGGGAGTTTTCGCTGATATCTCCTTTTTTTTTCTTGTGCAGAAGAAACAGAAGGGATTAAGGTCCTACTGAGAAGCAGAGGCATCCACCACTTTGTACTTAAAATTAGGATCCGTAGGCTACACCCAGTATCTTCCCTCTTGGTCCGAGAAAAAAAAGTAGAACGGAACAGGAGAGAAAAAAAATACTTCTTATTTAAGGGGAAGTTCCGGGATGCAAAAGAAAAAGAACTTTAAGGTGCCAAATAAACTTCAACCATTTGAAAAACCAGACAGAAATGTAACTTTGCCACACGCATTTCGCTTGATGCTCAGAGGACCAACTCAGCCTTATTTGATGTCCTAAACACATCTCAATTCACGTTTTTCCCCCTCTTGCATTGAACAAGTTAAAGCACGTGTAACCTTCCGTTGCACACAAAAAAGTGGGTACACCCAATGTTTTTCTGCAACGGGTCAAACACGTAAAAAAACCCCCTATAAAACAAACTTTCACGGATTGCAAAAAGACAAGGGGGTTCCGCCATCGCGTGGATGAGGACAAGAATTTGCAACCGAAGGGAAGCGCTCCCAGTTCCGAAATAACTAAAAGCGTACCGCAGACGCTGTACAACCTAGGAGAGAGGTTAAGGCTGAAATTTGAAAGCGTTACTTGACGGGACTACAAGACCCAGATTCCCAAAGCAAACGGAGCCAGGATTCTTGCTGATGGGGGAAATCCCGAGAGCGTCGGTCTTAAAAAGAAGTAAATTTCTAAAAACTTTAGAAAGGCCGCAGGCTAAAGCACGCTTACCCGGAAGCTAATCCTCTTGGAGATCAGAAGTAAATATGTTTAGGATCAAAGTGCAGAGACCCGGTGCAACTCCGGGATTAGCTGAACAGGAAAACAGAGCGAGCGAAAGAAAAGGGGAAAAAAGAGAAAGGAAACACGACAGTTCACACAGTAGGTTGTCAGAGGTTGTCTTTCCGGCCTTGCCTCTCTGGCCTTCCTGGCCTAGATCCGATTCCCACACCCACCGGGGTGGGTCACCGGCCGCCCCACGGTTTTGTTTTGGGGGCCTTATTCTCCCTCGGAGGGTGGGGGGACAGCAAAAGCAGCCTGAGGACAACACCCTTCCGCCTGCCTGATGGTGCTGAGCGTCCCCGCAGCTCTCGCACCCCATAACCAGCCCTGGGTCAGAATTTCCCCACCGTGTGTTTTCTTGCAACCCCCCCCTCCAAGGGGAAGAGGTGGAAGACTTTTCCCCCCCCCCCCCAGAAGCCCACAAAGCCTCCAGCCATAAATCGGGGCGTTGTGCGCTTATGGGCTTGGCGGAAGTTGTGCAAAACCAGATGCAAACTGAAACGACTTCCTTGAAGGAAGGAGGAACGGAGACAACACACGGCCCGTTTGCATGCCCTCTAAGGAGCCCCTGCGCCTCCTGACGTGGGGTAGAAGCCATGCTAACCAACTAAAATAAAATAAATAAGGAGAGACATATAGATACTGAGATATCTGCTGCTCTGTGCCATCAAGTCAGAGCTGACTTATAGGGACCCCAATAGATCTTTCAAAGTAAGCGAGGTGTTTAAGGAATAACGGCTGTTATGGGTTTTTCAGGCTCATTTTTTCCAGGCCATTTTTAAAGGAATAGTTTGACCGGTTCCACACTTCCCAGTGAGCGTCCATGGCTGAGCGGGGATTCGAACCCAGACCGCCCGAGTTCTGGTCCATACCTCTCTACCCACGACACCATACCGGGCGCCCTGAGGAAGTCCTACAAAACGGGGAATTAGCCCCCCCCATTAGCCTTGAAAATCATGGGGCTCCGAAACCCTCTTGCCGGCCAGCAACAAACCCTGCAGGGTAGGGCAGGGCGGCCCTCCTCCGGCCTGGCAGAACTACAACTCCCAGAAGCCCCGGCGGCCGCCAGGGCTGGGCACTAGGGTCTTTTAAAGAGGTCGCCCACCTGCGCTGCCACCTTTTAACATCCCGAAATATTCACACACACACATATATATCATAGATATAGAATATAATAAAATTAGACAGATAGAATTTAATTCGATTTTCTTACACTTCCCCACCCAGAGTAACATGGTAGGTGGGTGAGGAGACCCAGGACCCTCCCACACAACCACACAACCAAGACAGGATGGGGAGCCCTGTTTCTCCCCCGCCCTTCCTCCAGGTCTCTGAGGGACTACAACACCCATCATGCCCAGCCAGCAGGGTCCCATGGTCAGGGGAAACGAAGCGGTCTGTAGAGGCCAGCCTAGGTCCCTTCTTCCCCCCTAGAGGAGGTGCTGGGCCACCCACTCCCACCATTCCCCCCCCCTCAGCCCACCAGGGGGCTGTGGCTGATGGGAGTTGTAGTCCGACCGCCTTCAAAGGCCTGCCACCACCACCACCCCAGCCATTCATGGGAAGGAGAAAGAAACCCAGAAAACTGCCTTCCAAGGCCTGCCACCACCACCCCGCTTTCCCAAATCCAGAGAGGAGGTTTCCCCACCACCACCCCAGCCATTCATGGGAAAGAAACCCAGAAATATATATATATATATACATATTTCAAAAAAAAAGGCTCATTTTTTCTCTCTCCCCATTTTGGAGACAGGGAGGGGGAGGGGGAGAAAGAGAACGGAAGAGCCCGCTCAGGGAGGGGGGACGGACGTCGGGGGGCGGGAGACCCCCAGGGCGGAACAGCCCGGGCCCCGGCCGCGCACGCGCAGTCTTACCTGCCCCGGCGGCGAGAGAGAGAGAGAGAGAAAGCGGGGTGAGGTGGGGGCGGGGGGAGCCGCGAGCGCGCGGCCAGAGGGGGAGTCCTCGCGCCTCCTGAGGGAATCTCGCCTCGCTCGCCTCCAGAGTCTCCCCTCAAACTTTCACCACCACCCCCCGCCCCCTCCCGTGCGTCTCAGGGAAAGGAAGCGGAGCCAGGCGGGCGCTGATTGGCCGGGAGGGCAGCCGGAGGGCGGGACGGGAGGAGGAGGAGGGAGGAGCTTTCGCTCTCTCTCTCTCTCTCTTTCCCTCCCCCTCTCGCCTCTTTTCGGCCTCCGAGAGGGAGGCGGTGGAGGGCGGCGGCCGACGTCAACCAAAGAAACAAAAACATCAAAAAAAGGGGAGGGGAGAGATTTTAAAGGGACCGCTGCAGTTCCTGGAAGAAGGGGGGAGGAAAGGGGCAGTTTGGAAAAGTTCCATTTTCCCCCCATGCACTTCAAGACCCAAAATCCCCAGCCACACGCTCTCTTTCCTAATCTCAGATGAACCTTTAAAAAGAAAAGGGGAAAAAAAAGCTTGGAAAGTTTTGCATGGGCTGTGGCTGCAATCCTGTATAGAGTAGCATCAGGCTGAACTATATTTACATACATACATATAAAAATTAAAATAAAAAAAAAACTCAATGAGTGAATGAGGGGCCAGGCTCCTCTTTCCAACCAGTGCAAACAAATAAACAAACAAAAATATGTATCTTGGATTTCCTGATTTTTCTTCATCATCATCATCATCATCATCATCATCATCATCATCTCTCTTATATTTAACAGATACATCCTTGGTTTGTTTGTTTTTAATTAAAACTAGTATCTCTTATATAATACCAGCCAATGTTTTTATGATTTTGATTGACAGTGCCTGGTGTTTTTTGGATGATGATGATGATGAACATTACAACTCCTAGAGAGACAAACGCACCTTTTAAAGCAGATCAAGCGGCCGCTTCCAACCTTTTAATAATACTCCCAAAAATGCCAATTCTTGAAAACTAGAACTGGACAAGTAGCAACATCTGTTTTCAATTTAAATAAATAGATACTGTATCGGCAGTCTGCAGGGACTCTGAACGAAGTCGGCCTCCGGGTCCAACAGAGCTGCACATCTGTTTAAGGGATGGGGGGAGTTTAGGCAAAAGGCAGCCCTCCAGATGTGGTGCAGCATCATATTTTGCTACGCTGGGTAAAACAGGTGGATCGGAACATCTGGAAGGGCCACCACCAGCATCTCAGAGCCCAAAGCTACTCCTCCTCGGCTCAGCAATCATGGCTGACGCTGCCTAATGAAATGCCCTCCGTATTCATGGCTCAGGCTGCTGGGTCCTTTCTGCGAAATATATAAAACTGAATGGAGTCACCTCTCCCAGCTGATGACTACCTGCCTGTGTTCGTTGTTCATCAAAACAAAGATGATTAAACAGGAACTAGTCATTCAATTGCATCCCACATTCTGCCAAATGACAGCCGCGTGACCTAGAAGAGGCCGAATCGTAGGACTGTAGAGCTGAAAATGACTCCTAAAAGGTCATCTATTCCAACCCCACATTTCTCCAACATTGCTCTTTATCCAACAAAGGCTTCAGAGACTTGCAAACCGCTTGGTGGTTAGTTTACTTCCTCTAATTTCTTTTTTATTCAAAGACTTGCAGGCACAAGCCAATTTCAAGCTACCCACTCACTGCCCTAGCCTGTATCGGTCTTCTGCTTACACCATAGCAATGTTTCTACATGTTTACCCATCTTTATATTTACAAATCTTTTTTTCTCCCCACGTTTCATGGTGTATTTTCCCCTCCCTCCTTCTAAAGGTTCAGTTCTGCCTGACATCTCCTTGGAAGCGACTAGTTGCAAGTAATTTAGTTACCTTGTAGAACAGAGTTACATTTGGGAAGTGACTAGTTACAAGTAATTCAGTTACCTTGTAGAACAGAGTTACATTTTAAATGTAGTGAACAGCTACAAAGCGCCCTCATGGTCTAACAAGTAACATTTTAGCCACTCTTGAAGGTTACCTTTAAAGAGGAACTAAAGGCATTCTGAAATCACCTGGATGAGAATTTCCCCACTTTTATGTCCCTTGGGAGCACTTACCACTTTTATATCAACCATCCGGGAAGGATTTTGAAGGTAAATATACAGGAGACATTGAGGAGTGGACAGTGATGGAGAAAGAGGGTGCCGTTTTTCTTTAACATCACACTTGCTGAAGCATCCGTCCACCACAAGGGAATCCTATCACTAACGGCTGCCAGGATGTGTCAGGCATCGGAGGACCTCAGATGGTTGGAGCCTTCTCTCTCTCCTCCATGCTCCTTCCCCCTCTTCATCTTTCTTCACTCTCTGCTTTTCTGGTTCCTTTTCTTTCCTCCGGCTGCCCGGTGAACAGCTTCCTCTTAAGCAGGTGGGCTGTGATGCAGCCATGAGCATTATGAGGTCACCCCCCTCTCTGTCTTACCCTTACTCCTCTCCTCCTTCTCTCCCTTCAGGAGGAGACACGGACAAAGAACCGGGGAGGTGGGTTTTCCTTTCTTTTCTTGTAACAACAACAACAACAACAACAACAACAACAACAACAACCTGAGAATTGCAGAGCTGGAAGGGACCCTCTGGATCACCGCGTCCATCGCAGGGGAATCGAACTCCCAACCTCTGGATCCACAACCAGATGCCTAGACCACTGAGCTATCCAGCCATTTGATTTTGAGTGGTTCAACTCTGATTTTTTGCAAATGCGCAAACCTCCCCCCCCAAAAAAAATGTGTCCATTAACTAGGCATATTGTCTTCTATGAGTGTGCATCGATCTCCATGGTTGGGAGTTCAATTCCCGGCTCGGGCCTCTTGAGAGAAGAGCCAGCCTGGGTAGCCTTGGGCAAGCTGCACCATCTCAGGTTGCCCCCTAGAGGAAGAGAAGGGTAGCACACCTCTGAGCACTCTCTACCTGGAAAACTCTGGAAAAGGCCTCCCTAGATCAGAATAAACTTGATGGCATAGGATGATGATGAGGTGTTCCATGTCCTATGTTTGGAGGTGCTTTTGAGGCCATTTGGTCTAACCAAGGGCTTGCAGGATTAACTCAACAGGAGTTTAGATTAACCAGCATAATGATAACATCATCCTCCACCTCTTCAGGCATCGTACCCAATGAGTTTAGCTGAAATCTTGGCTGGTGATGGTGGTGTAATTCCCCGGCAACAATATGTTGAGTTAGCCTGATGCAGTGCAAAGTGCTGGGTGTGTGGTTTGGCATTGGAGAGGTAATTCAAGGCTGTTGGCTATATAAAAGGCCCGCTCCCGGGGAAGACATACTCTGCTGGAACGAGGTGGTTGAATCGACACCGTCATCTCATTCTTCTCTACCTTGCAGCATAACATCTGGGGCTGGCCCTGTCTGTACACCATGCTATGCAGAATCTACCGGTTTTCAGAATATGGCTTCTTGAGATGTAACCACGGATTGTGTCTTGTGTGGTTGACTCTGAGCCTTGTGGCGCAGTGGTTAAACGGCTGTCCTGCAGCCAAAACTGGGCTCATGATCTGGGGTTCAATCCCAGGTAGCAGCTCAAGGTTGACTCAGCCTTCTATCCTTCCAAGGTTGGTAAAATGAGTCCCCCAGCTCGCTGGGTGTGTGTGTGTGTGGGGGGGTAATGTGTAGCCTGCATAATTAACTTGAAGCACTATGGGGAGGTATATAAAGCAGCATGCTTTAATGGTGCTGGACAATTGATTGAAGATTCAAATATGGATACAGCTTTAAATAGCTCTACACTTTTCAGAGGGGTGAGCTGCAAACAGCCTCTGCTGTTCATTAGGGGAAATCCTTTCAGCACATCTTGCGCTGGGTTTGAGCAGTGGGGCATTAACAGGGCTAGAAGTCCATGTGTAGCTGAAGCCTGATGTACGTTAATTTAAATGCGCTGGGTTTGAGCAGTGGGGCACCCATGAACAGGGCTAGAAGTCCACACGTAGCTGAAGCCTGATGTACGTTAATTTAATGGAATGTTTTCCCCCCCTCATCCCCTTAATGGTGTCTTTAATCTATGCACAAATGATGTAATCAAACGGAGTCTGCAGTTTCCTGATTTCACTGGCCATTGAAGTCAGATTATTTCATCAGTGTTGATAGCAGGTGTTTTACTCTTCTCCATTGGGTGTCAAGTCTCCAAATGATTAGAGAGGCTACAGCCGTAGAAGCTGGGGTTGCACAGTTTTGAGATTTCTTGGTTAAAATCCTCCAGCTACGCAGCATAAGTGCAGGGACTCACCAAGCAGAATAGCTTCAAATCCCCCCTGGTTCATCAAGCCCTTTTCTCATCAACTGGCATGTACAGTCTCAATAACTGAGACATTAGCAGGAGGAAGAATAAACGGTGTCACTACTTACAACTGAGAAATCAAACAGCAAACTTGCAAACGTGACTGCTTTCAGCCACAGTCTTCCTGCTTCGAGCTGACAGCAGGGGGGGGGGAAGAGACAGAGAGCAGAGAGGCGGGGCTCTCTTTTAATTATAACTGATTTCAGCCACAGTCTTCCTGCTTCAAGCTGACAGCAGAGGGGGGGAAAGAAACACAGAGCAGAGAGGCGGGGCTCTCTTTTAATTCAGAGGCAGGAACGGAAGGATTGGCTAGTGCTGAGTAGATTGGCAGTCGCCCCCAGCCCAGGGAGGTCCTGAAGGCAACATGCAACATTGCAAAAACTCCCAACAGCAGATGGCTCTGATATCATGGGGGGGGTGAGGTGTTGAAGCCACCCTGGGTTTTACTCCGAACTTCAGAAGCACTAGACAAGCTCCTGAGCCTAATTTAGAAGAAAAAGTGCAGCACCCAAAAATACAGCAGGGTAAACTGTGCAGCTGAAATTCTTTCAAGGCAGTACATTTGGATTTTTCCCTGAAAGAGAAGATGTAGACTGGAAAGGAGGTGGGGTGGGGGGCACTCACATTTCTGGCTTGCAAAATGACAGCTTAGAGCAGGAATTACTGAAGCACTTAAAGCACCACCTGGAAGATGCCTCCCTCTCTCTCTCTTTTTATTGCACACATGTTCTTTCTAAGAAAGCAGATCATTGGGCTTATAAAACATTTGACAGTCCTTGTTAAAAATAAATAAATAATGAAAAGGTGTCGTTAAAGCCGAGAGAAGGGAGGGGGAAAAAACCCACTCAGTAAATCCACCGGGGAGGACAACAACCAAAAACCAGCGGGCCAAAGAAGGAAGAAAAAAGAGATGCTCACAAGCTGGCATCACAATTTGTTTCTAATTAAAAAGAACTCTGGACATGGGCAGAATTCTCCAGAAAGCCGACCCCCAATGCAGGCACCTCTCTCCCCCCAAAATGCTAGCTATAACCACCCAGAGTCAAGTATTCGGCAAAGGAAGGCTACGGCTGACCCCCTGCTAAAGTTCAGAGAGCAGGCGGACCGATTTCTCTTTCGGTTCCCAGATGTACTGGGTGGAAAAAGACAAGCTATAAGGGCTGGGGCTTCAAGTCGTTGGACTCACTGTCAGGTTAGATTTAAGTTGCACTGGCGACTCAACTCAAACTCGACTCCAATTCTCCCCCCCTCATGACTTGGATTCAACTTACAGCTAGGAACACACACACACCCTCCGTTTCTTTCCTGGGGAAAAATGCTTCTTTTTAATAGGCACTCGGATTTGGGACTTGATACCAAAGACTCGGACTTGGGACTTGGTACCAAAGACTCGGACTTGGAACTTGATACCAAAGACTCGGACTTGGAACTTGATACCAAAGACTCAGACTTGGGACTTGATACCAAAGACTCGGACTTGAGACTTGATACAAAGATTCAGACTTGGGACTTGGTACTAAAGACTCTGACTTGGGACTTGATACAAAGACTCAGACTTGGGACTTGATACCAAAGACTCGGACTTGAGACTTGATACAAAGATTCAGACTTGGGACTTGATACAAAGACTCGGACTTGGGACTTGATACAAAGATTCAGACTTGGGACTTGATACAAAGACTCGGACTTGGGACTTGATACAAAGATTCAGACTTGGGACTTGATACAAAGACTCGGACTTGGGACTTGATACAAAGATTCAGACTTGGGACTTGATACAAAGACTCGGACTTGGGACTTGATACAAAGATTCAGACTTGGGACTTGATACAAAGACTCGGACTTGGGACTTGATACAAAGATTCAGACTTGGGACTTGATACAAAGACTCGGACTTGGGACTTGATACAAAGAATCAGACTTGGGACTTGGTACTAAAGACTCTGACTTGGGACTTGGTACCAAAGACTCGGACTTGGGACTTGGAACCAAAGACTCAGACTTGGGACTTGGAACCAAAGACTCTGACTTGGGACTTGGCACTAAAGACTCTGACTTGGGACTTGATACCAAAGACTCGGACTTGGGACTTAGGACTAAAGACTCATGCTCAGACTTGGGGCTCGGACCTGAAGACTCACTGATGTCCCTGCAAGCTGTAGCCAAACCGGAAACAGACCAAGTTATTCATCCCGAAAACACAGCATGGAAATGCAGCCGTTTTGAACTCCATTTCTTTGAAGACAAAAAGGAAATAGGTCATTTCCCCAAAATCTGCCATAAACTCTGTGTACCCTGTTTGTTGAATTTCCCAGTATTTAGGGAAGTAGTCATACACCTCTTGATCTACTTGTTAATTTTCTCCTAGACTCTGGAACTCCCTCCCACTGGAGGCCAGACCGGCTCCATCATCTTTGCTGTCCTTCCACAAGCAGGCGAGTTTTCCCCGAGTGATGGGCTGCCTGAGTGAGCTTTTCAACATGGATTGTTGTTCCTCATCACTTTGAATGCATGTTGGTGTTGCTTATGTTTAGTAGGGTGTTTGATCCTTTTTATTATTTGTGTACTCATTGTTGTTAGTTTTAAATACTCTCTTTTAATGATGTAAACCACCTTGAGCCCTTTTTAAGGAGAAAGGTGGGGCAGAAAAAATTACATACATACATACATACATACATACATACATACATACATACATACATACATACATACATACATACATACATACATACATACATACATACATACATACATACATACATACATACATACATACATTGTGATGCATCATCAAGTTGCTTCCAACTTATGGAAACTCTACGAATAAGTGAACTCAGAAAGATCCTATTGTTAACAGCCCTGCTCAGATCTTGCAGGGAGTTGTGGCTTTCCTTTTTTGAGTTAATCCATCTCAAACATAGTCCTCCTCTATGCCTGCTGCCTTCAACTCTTCCCACGATTCTTGTCTTTCCCCCCCCAGTGAGTCTTGTTTTCTCACAATGTGCCCAAAGCGTGGCAGCTTTGTCATCTTGGTTTCTGCAGAGAGGAACCGGCTTGATTTGACTTAGCCCCTGCTTTTTTACATTTCTCATGTATTTCTGACTAAGCCATGTCAAGCCTGAGTTCCCTCTAGAAACCAAAAGGACACAACGGAGGCTATCATACTTTCCATGCATCAGCTATGTAATAGTGGCAGTTTTCTAGAAGATATAACGCATGTGTGTGGGCGTGCATGCCTACATAAAGCTGCATAATACATAATGTAAAACTGCATCTCTGCAAAACTGAGGTCAATCAACTGTCTGCATGTTGTTGTTGTTTAGTCATTAAGTTGTGTTCAACTCTTTGTGACCCCATGGACCAGAGTACGCCAGGCCCTACAGTCTTCCACTGCCTCCCGGAGTTGGATCAAATTCATGTTGGTAGCTTTGGTAACACTGTCCAACCATCTTGTCCTCTCTCATCTCCTTCTCCTCTTTCCTTCACACTTTCCCAACATCAGGGTCTTTTCCAAGGAGTCTTCTCTTCTCATGAGATGGCCAAAGTATTGGAGCCTCAGCTTCAGGATCCGTCCTTCCACTGAGCACTCAGGGTTGATTTCCTTCAGAATGGATAGGTTTATTCTCCTTGCAGTCCAGGGGACTCTCAAGAATCTCCTCCAGCACCACAATTCAAAAAGATCAGTTCTTCAGCAGCCAGCCTTCTTTATGGTCCAGCTCTCACTTCCATACATCACTACTGGAAAAACCATAGCCTACCTTGTTAAGCCTATCTTGACGTATATATATTATATTTTATTTTGAGGAGTTCCTCCACTGACCTGCAGGCGTGTGGATTGCTGCTAGGTGGCAGTACCACACAAAACTTGAGAACCCACAGCCTCCAGCAACACATTGCCTTTCGCTTTAAAACATATTCTGTTTTCATGAATCTACAGCCAACCTGAATTTAGCCCTAAGCCGCTACTACAGGATGCAAGTCTCTCTCTCTCTCTCCCATTCTCTCTCTCTCTGTCTGTGTGTGTTAGAGAGACAGAGAGAGAGAGAGAGATCATCATCAATGTTTATACCTCTGCTTTTTAACCTACTCCAAATGTACACACTTTGCTATGCATTTGCATTAAAAAAATCAGACTGCTCCCCTATAAAATTTGGAAAAATGCTAATGACACAGGGGAACGATGCTTCTATTTGTGTGTTGGCTTGAAAAGCATCACTTCAGTATGTTGGCCTTAAAGTCTGAAGAGAACTGGTTTGTGTTCCATCCCTATTTTAATCTCCGAATCTTCAGCAAAGACAATATCTTGCCATTGATCAGAGTGCGCGAAAAACCCTCCTTCTTTGCTTCTCAATTCTCAGTTATCTCCCAGACCGTGGTTTGTATAATTTTTCCAAGCTCCAGTGCGGACCCTTAAGGGTGGTTTTCTGATACCTGGAGAATCTGGCAATTTAGTGGACTTGAGGGGAGCCAACGTCCAGCTGTTCACATCTGGATGGGTGATGTTCAACCTCTCCGTCCTCGAAGCCTCAGAGGATTGGACTCAGTGGGTACCAGGATACAAATCTCTGATATCAGGACAGTTGCAAAATAAAGATCCTTACCTTTTAAATTAAGGCATGGAACCTCCATGGGGCTTATATTAAAAGTGGGTTTTGGCAGCACAGCCAACATATGGAAAGGGGCAGTGTGTGGCTTTTGGGGACCGGATGCCACCGGGTCATCAGATTTGAGGGGAATGATGTGGGACCCCTAAACATAGAGGGGGACCTGTTTCCACCTCATTCATGTCTGCCCCTGTGCAAAGATCCCGTAGGGATAAGAGCTTCGTGAATCCGTCTGCCTTGATGCAGAGATTAGATCACTTCAGCGAGAAGAAGCTGGCGCGCCAAGATTCAATCAGAGTTATTGGCTGTTTCGGGAATGATTTATTGGAAAAGTGAACACATTCTGACTTTATGTTACCTCGACGTTTTCCCAGTTACATCACACACTTGTCTAATGAATCTGGAATTTACCGTAATAAATTTCTTCTAACATCCTGTGGATATATTATGGAGGCTTTCCGCCACTGCAGTAAATAACAGGATTAGACATTCTAGCAAGCCTGTTTCCATTCAGGAGGGTCAAAATCAGACAGGGAAAGAAGGAAGTTCTATAGCCCTGGCCCTCTATTGTCTGCAATGGGGTCCAGGGTGAGACGTCAGTCTGTGGCGACGGCAGGCATCAATGACTGCTATTAACAAGCACGATTTATCATTCACCCATTCGCCATCTTTACGTCCATGAAAGTATTCACTCCTCTGCTTGTTGAGCAGCGTGACACTCTCCCCATAACTTTCTTTTAGATGGAGGTTAGAGTTTATAAGAGAATGGCAACAACAACAACAAAAAATGGAACATTACCATCAAATCGCATCTGAAGTATGCCTTTACTTGTTGGAGCTATTACAACCTCACATGCTGCCTTTAGTAGGTTTGGTTGGGAGGAACCTTTCTGGGCTCGGCTGGCTGTCAATCTAGCTGACAGTAACCAATGGTTCCTTCCTTGCCTCTGAGTTCAAAGAGAGCCCTGCTCTGTGTCTCTTTCCCCCATCGGTGAAAGCAGGGAGACCGTTGTTGAAAGCAGTCACGTTGGTCAGTTTGCTGTTCGGTCTGTTCAATTGTAAGCAATGGCACCTTTTATTCTTTCTCTTACTAACATCTCAGAATGAGTTACTGAGACTCTAAGTGCCAGCTGATGAGAAAAAGAGTGGTTGGTTCCAGGGAACTTGAAACTATCCTGCTCTGTGAATCTGTGCGCTTCTGCTGCACAGTGAGAAGAATTTAACCAGAAATTCAAAACTCTTCAGTGTTAATGATATTTTAAAGTCACTTAGGAAAGCAACTGGGAAATGTTGCTCATTAAACTAAGGAACCATAGGCTTGCTAATTATGTTACATATGAAATGCTACTCTGCTGCACCCTTGTTACCCCAAAAGGTAAGTTACATTATTTCTAACTCGTCACTCCCAGGATTTGTCTCTTAATCACACAAATAGTTTGCATGACATTTTACAAAGGATGGTGGGAGGGGAGGTCTCTGGCTCCTAGGCACTTACGATCTGAAAGTTGACCCTGGGGAAAGCATGCAGGAAAGTGGAGGCCAAAAGGCACATTTCCATTTTCGAAACATCCATGGCCTGATTCTGCTTTCTGTGGCTTTCGAACCCGCTCGATCTGGTTATGTCGGTTTCCACCAGCTGCTGATTATTCCTCCCTCTCCGGCTCCCGCTCTCCTTTTCTCCTTCTCTTTTCAATTGCAGAACTTATCAAAACATTTGAGGAAGTCTACGCAACAAGCTTCCTTCCTCTTGGCCCATGTCACAAGCTTTCTCTTTCAGTCACAGGTTACCTCTTAAGAGGGACGTGCTTTCCTGTAACGTCATGGTGTGGGGTTTTTGTGTTTTTTTTTGCTGGAAAAGTGATGAGGAAATGAAAAATTCCACCGCCCGAAATGACCATGTCTTTAAAAGCCTGGGAGTCACTAGATTCATTTGTCAAGCGTCCGGATCAGCATTGTCAGCAGCCCCGCTGGGGTCGAAGTCTACAATTTGCTCTCTGCGGTTGGCGATTCATGGCACACCCTGATTTCCTTTATGTTTCCAGCCTGGTTCAAGATTACTTGAAACATGTTGGGCGAGGACAAGCGGAGCTAGAAGGCCCGCCGAGCAAAGTTTCAGAAGTATTGCGAAAAGTCGGTGCTGCGCTCCAGAAGGAGGTAGAAGGTCAGCTCCAGCTATACCTGGACTCTCTGGAGATCCATTCGGTGGACAAGGCCAGCCAAATATTCAGCCAGGTGATGGAAGAGGAATTTGCCGACGGGGAAATGAACTGGGGACGGATTCTGACAATATTCGTGTTTGGGGGCATTCTGGCTAAAAAGCTTCAAGGACAGGGTGTCCCTTTGGGAGATAAGACCCTGGAACAGATTTCTCATTTCGTGACGGATTATATCGTCAAAACGAAGACAGCATGGATCAGTGAAAACGGAGGATGGGTAAGTTTTCATTGAAGTTTTCCTTTAGACTAGGTTTAGCCTCTGCATGAGCTGGCAGGATAGCTCAGCAGGTTAGGTCTCTGGCTGTAGAGATGGAGGTTGGGAGTTCGATTCCCCCCCACTGCGCTTCGTGGGAGAACAGCCAGCCTGGGTGGCCTTGGGCCAGCTGCACCGTCCCAAGAAGAAGGGAATGGTAAAACCATTTCTGTGCATTCTCTGCCTAGAAAACCTTGACAAAGGGCAGCCATAAGTCAGAATCAACTTGGTGGCAGAGGATGATGGTGATGATTAGCTTCCACATTGCACTTCTTCATGTTCACCTGAGGGACTCAATTGAAGGCCCAGGAAAATAAAGAAAAATAAAAGCCAGTTTAATTGTTATCCAGCCAATCATTATGAAAACTTTGCTCTCAATCCGTCTTGCATGGATTTATTCTTGGTGCTGATTTTTAACTTGTTAAAAAAAGTACTGAAATAGATCTTTTCATTGTGGTTGTCTGCCTATATTTGTGGGTTTTAATGTATTTCAATTTCAATCTGTTTTATTTCTTCCGATCTTCTCCTACACCGTTCTGGCAGTTTTACTGGGCAAGGGCCACTGGAATTAATAAATAACAGAGAATGTCCTTGTACAAATTGAACAAGGAAGCCCCAGATGTGTTGTACAGGAGTGTGAAGGAAATCTCTTATAAATGTATTATTCTAAAGCTGCAGTGTTAGGCTATATAGTTTGTTGCTGCTTAAGGCTCTTTGTCTGAATGGGTGAATTCGCTAGTTTCTCTCAAACGCCAAAAAAAAAAAAAGCAAACCTTTACCTCTAATTCGCCTTGCCGCTATACTGAACTTTCCATTTTGTGGATTTACCATTTAGGGGAAGTTGCATACAGAAACCTTGTGTATTTTCCCCACAGACATGTGTTTTTCCCCCTTGGTATTTCCATTAAATTTCTAAGAAACAGTCTGCACCAAAGGGTCACTGCAGTTCTTGGTCCTTCTCTTGCTTTAGCCTCCTTTTCTCTCTCTCCCAGTGAAATTAGGGGCTATTTTTGTTGGCTGGAGAGCTCGTGGTTTAGATCTCTGGGTGTGGGGCCAGAGGCTGGGAGTTCCATTCCCCCACTGGACCTCTCAAGACAAGCGCCAGCCCGTGTAGCCTCGGGCCAGCTGCACAGTCCCAGGAGAGCAAACCATTTCTACCTTAAAAAAAAAACCCTTAAAAAGTGATCACTAAATGTATTCTGAGGAGAGTGTGACCCAGGCAGGGCTGTCAGAAAAGATATTTCAAGGACCAGAGAGAGAGATGAACCCTTAGCATAGCACTTTGTCTTACAACATTTTCCCTCCAGGCAATCAAATCTTTCAGCGCTGCACGCCTGAGAGATCAAACAGGCAAACAAAAGGGTGACATTTCCAGTTACCGATTACAAAATGCCAGCAGGCTAATTTGCCAGCATGTGTTGGAATAAACAGTCCTTTTCTCTTTATTTATTTTTTAGGTAAAAATCTCCATTAAACACTTTACCACCCACAAGGGACCCCCCCCCCGCCCGGAAAGATGAACCCTTGAAACATTCTTTAGGTTAATGGGTTTAGATTATAAGAAAGAAGACATAAGATATAATTGTAGATGTTACAGGCTTAGAAAAAATTGGCAAGATTAGTGTGGTGTGAGCTTAGTAAGAAAGTGTATAGGTAAAGTAATAATGATATATATTGTTCTCCATCATTCCGTATTTTTTATTTACTCCAATACATTGTTCCAAATCGCCTTCCCTATGATCTTCCTAACCCAATGGAAAATGAATATTTTTTTTAAAAAAAGAAAGTAAGTTTAGTAAGAAAGCATATAGGTAAAAGTAATAATGATATATATTGTTCTCTACCATTCCGTATTTTTATTTACCTCAATACCTTGTTCCAAATCCCCTTCCCTATGATCTTTCCCTAACCCAATGAAAAATGAATAATATTTTTTTTAAAAAAAGAAACACTCTTTAGACATGGATTTTAAATGACTTTAAAGGCCAATTTGCAATGAGAAGCCAGACAGAACAATAGATTTGTGACCATCTACTGGAAGAGGAGTAGGGACGTGGTGGCGCTGTGGGCTAAACTGCAGAAGCCTCTATGCTGCCAGGTCAGAAGACCAGCTGTAGTAAGATTGAATCCACACGATGGAGAGAGCTCCCGTCGCTTGTCCCAGCTCCCACCAACCTAGTGGTTCGAATGCATGAAAATGCAAGTAAGTAAATAGGGACCACCTCAGTGGGAAGGTAACAGCGTTCTGTGTCTAAGTCACACTGGCCACGTGACCACGGAAGATTGTCTTCGGACAAAACGCTGGCTCTATGGCTTGGAAACGGGGATGAGCACCGCCCCCTACAGTCGGACATGACTGGACAAAAATTGTCAAGGGGAACCTTTACTTTTACTGGAAGTGGAGTAAGGGAAATGTGAAAGAAGGGGATTTCACATGGAAATCCTGAAATGGAGAAAGATCTGTTTTGCATACTCATCAACCCGATTTCTCCGGATGGTGGGCCACCCAACAGGGTCACTGCTGAAGGTTTCAGATTCAGGGAAATGAAAACACAAGTCAAAGCAGCAGCAACGGATCAAATAAATGCCAGGTTGTTGCCCTTGACGAGACCTCAAATGCGTTCTCTTAGGCAGCTACTTCACTTTGCCTAAAGGTAGGGCCGGCACTGAGTCAACAGCATCACTGGCACCATAAGACAAATCCTAATGAGCATCTTCTCTCTCTCTGCAGGACAATGGCTTTGTCACCAAGTTTGAGGATAAGAGCCCCTGGCTGTCTTTGCGCAACGTGCAGGCAAAACTAATCTCCGTATTATCCTTCTTCAGTCAGTATTACTGACGAATCCATGCTTCCCCAAACATGGGACGCATCACGAGATCTTACATCACCGTGTCTTCCAGGAAAACTGCCCAGCTGAGTCAAAGACGGCACCGACTTTTGTAACATTTCAGATCTTATTTATGTTATTTATTTGTACATAGTCTTGTCTCGTGTTAAAAACACTGCTGTCGTCGTAGCTGTAAGACACAGCTGGCACCATACCACATAAACACAGTTTCTATCGGGTTTCCTATGAATTACATAATTAAAAAAAAAGAATATTCATGAATTAGTCTCGGATACTCTCCATCCATATTAAAAGGAGTTCTTTGGGAGGCCCTTTGGTGAAAAAAAAATGCAACCCTTCACCACGATCCTGCCCTCGGGACGACTGCCACTCTCCTTCGTTGGTAAGGCCGCTGCCCAACGATGGCAAAATTGGGTACACATAAACACAACACACACAGAGATGTGGGAAGGCAAGTGCATTAGGCCCCCAGCATGCGAAGACACCACCAAGCAGCTAACCAATAGATGGGCCTGCTTGATATTTCATTAACCCATGAAGACCATTTGAATTCAAATAGCACATAAGACCGGCCTCTCCGGCCTTTCTATGGGAAATAAGCAGTTAAGCCTTTTTAAAATAACTTTTAACTTTCTTTTCCGAGAACTGGGCTGATATATAGGAAATCCAGATAAGATGGTCCACTGAGTCTACAAACAAAGCTCTCCATTTTCATAGGTTTGAACCAACTCTGCACGACCTCCCCCTCCTTTTCATTTTCCCTCATAGAGGTCTACATGCCATCGTCATCATCATAATTATGATGGAATTGCAGTGCTGGGAGGGACCCTCTGGATCACCGCTTCCAGTCCCTCTCAAGGAGGCACCCAGTAGGGGAATCGAACCCCCAACCTCTGGTTCCCCAGCCGGAGACCTCAGTTGCAAAGCTATCCAGCAATTTCAAAGCACAATTAAATCCCACTGTGTGGAATATCATTTCACGCGAGCCATTTCCTACTCCGCCTTTGGCAAGCGTGGAAACAGTATGCTGGGCTACATCCGTTGTTCCAAACCTTGGGTCCCCAGATGTTCTTGGACTGCAAACTCCCAGAAATCCTGGCCAGCACAGCTGGGGGGTGAAGGCTTCTGGCCATTTTCACCCAAGAACATCTGGAGACCCAAGTTTGGGACCCACTGGACTAGATAATGCATCATAGTGGGGGAACAGACCACCCTCCAGATGTTCTTAGACTTCAGCTATGATCAGCTGCAGCCAATGTGGACACAAGAATCAGCCATGCGGGAGACAGTTTGATATCCGAGGGTCCTCCAGTCCTCTAGCTGGGATAGAGAACTTTGGTTTGATCCTGCTCTGTGTTCTTATGCGGTGAAGCCTGAAGCATCGATTCAGTCCAGTGAAATGATGTGTTTGATCTAAAGGTCCTATTATTCCACACTGTTGCTTAGCTTATCTAGAGCTAAAAGGAGCTGCAGCAATATTATTTTTTAAAAATAAAGTTTATGTTGATCTACTAGAAACTACTATCTAGAGCTAAAAGGAGCTGCAGCCAATATTATTTTTTAAAAATACATAAAGTTTATGTTGATCTACTAGAAACTAAAAAACAACTCGTGTTATACTTTTATTTGCTACATGCTTGCGTAGATGTTTAGCAGGGGCAAATGGATCATCAGTCAAATGTTTCTTCTTCTTCTTCTTCTGAATCATGCCTTAGACGGGATGATGATGATTGAGTGGCCCTCCAGATGTGACTAGAGTCAGTGTAGCACAACACAGATGGCTGATTATGGCTGGGGCACATGGATGACCTTCCACACAGAATTACACGCTGTACTGCACGTACAAGAGTACTTCAGATTCACGATTAGGCAAGACAGGAGAGGAGTTTTGCAACCACACTGGCAGCAAAGAACAAGCCAGCACCAGGCAGCTGTGTGACAAGGGTGTGTGACAGCACGACATCGGGTGGCGAAATATTTGAGGACCCCCCCCCCACAAATGTTCCTGCATTTGGACAGCACGGCCGATAGTTATGAACATGTTTGTCGGCGCGCCAAGCTTTGCAGCAAAAACGTTGCACATGCAGGAGAGAGGAAAGCTGAAAAAGGAGGAATGTAGCCAGTTTTAGAAGAGGTCGCAGTGTCTGTCAGTCAAAATCCAAAGGAGAAAAAGAGGGGAAAATGGACAAAAAGCACGTGCGACTAACTATTGTGTTTTAATCTCAGCTTTCGTGGATCAAGGCCACGACGCGGAATAGTCTTTAAGATGTCACGTGTTTTTGTCTCCATGTTCTTGTTGGTCTTCCCTTTGGATTTTGCCTGATAAACATAAGGGGGATGATGATGGTCAGTAAGCTCCACCAGCACACATGTCTTCATTTTAACCAAAAGTCATAGAATCGCAGAAGGGGGCCTTGAATGGCCATTGACTCCAACCCCTTCCTCAAGGCAGGAATCCAGACCAAAGGACATCTCTCTGTGTGTGTGTGTGTGTTGTTGGTCTTCCCTTTGGATTTTGCCTGATAAACATAAGGGGGATGATGATGGTCAGTAAGCTCCACCAGCACACATGTCTTCATTTTAACCAAAAGTCATAGAATCGCAGAAGGGGGCCTTGAATGGCCATTGACTCCAACCCCTTCCTCAAGGCAGGAATCCAGACCAAAGGACATCTCTCTGTGTGTGTGTGTGTGTGTGTGTGTGTG